GGGGGGGTACAGGAAGGGGGAGACTTTCAGAGAGGGTACAGCCCAGGAGCACACATCTGGTTCGTGTTGAGAATTGAGGAAAATTCCACTGTGAAGGACCTTTCACCCATTTCTATTGAGATAGAGGGTAAAAGGGATGACATGTACGTGACTGCTGGAGCAGCTCTCAAGGAGCACACAGGAAATGATCTCCATGAAGGAAATTGATGGATTTTACCTGACATGTCGGATGGAAATGCTTGTAAATTTGACCGAAAAATGGGCAATATAGCATATATAGCTACTCAAATCACCTTACCACTATTCTGAACTGTTTTAATCACATTTATGATCACACGAGCAGCAGAATGCAGAATAAACCGAATTTGGGGATGTGTGAAATACTCCTTAAATGGACAAGCAGAGCTGCATTGGGTTTGTTGGGTAAGAATGCATTTTTGAACCAAAGCTTTGGAATGTGCACAATGTGAACAAACAACGGAGAAAATCAAAAGTCCTGGAACACCCCTCAGCATTTCATAGTCTGATTATCAAGCTGAAATTTGACCCCGGTGGCTCAATGTCCCCCTCAACGCTGGCTTTAATTCAAGATCAAGCTTAAGTGGAGCATGCAAGAGTAAAGTTCCAATGAAGCAGGCGAAGAAAACAGGGCAGCAGTGAAAGAGAACAATCTTTTATTGGTGTTTTTTGGGAGATTTCAACTACATCCAAATAACCAGCACTGACTGGCGGTCTGGGCACCGTGGACACTACTGATGCAGCAGGGCAGTTGATCACTTAAGAGTCACCACAAGGTTTATCAACCACATCTGTGAAGTTATCAGAGACTAAGTCCTGTTTGGAGAGCAAACAATCACTGAATGGCATGATAAAGGCTGAAAGAAAAGCAACTGGGAGTATATCAGCAGTGTGCATAGTCCGCACGCAGCTGGGGAGCACGGGAGGTCTTGGTGATAGGTAAAATAAGTCTGCATGAAGATCATGTTCAAGTGACCGAGCCACGTTTGTGAAATCCATGGACAAAGACAGTGCCAGTAGTGTCCAGAGCAGAAGAGAGAGAGGCTGAACGTCTGTGGGTGAGGGTGTTTCTTTTTGTCATTTGAATAGTCTTTGCGAGGAACGCTGAAGATGTTTCAAGGTGCAACAGATCATGTTCATCCAAAGAAAGAAAAACATTCGATAATATAGAACACCAACAATAAGAGGGATAATCATCATAATCATAACTATAACAATAGCTGTAATGGTAACTATTCATCATGGTCATTAAAGGGATTAAAATCACACTCTATTACTAGTTATCCCTCCCCCAGGAACACAACATAGTGTACCATGCCCCTGTGTAGGTGTTGCGGGTACACAGCGAAGTTTATAGATACTGCAAAAAGTAGGTAAACCGTGGAGGAAGGAGCAGTGTGGGGGGAAAAAAAGCACTGAATAGCAACAAGCATTGAGGATAAGAATAGGAAATTTTGGCTTTTATTTCTCCCAGAAATCTGAGAAATTAACACCATTCCACTCAATGGGGGTACTCAACCCATCTCCTGAAATACATCAAATACATAAAACAGTACAGCCCTGTCCAGTATACACTACATATCTTGCCCAATCACAATGACAATTAAGCTGTGTTCATTTTAGTCAAGTAACAATGTGCATCTTACTGAGAGGATTGTTTACTATTTTAGAGAATGTTACAACACTGTGATTTCAATCAATTTTGAGGTACATGAGAGGACAAAATGTTATGGGAAGAGCACTAAACTGTGATGTGATTCGCAGCAAGTGGGAGCAGACAGAAATAGAGACATGGGTCTAAAAACACAGCAGCAATTCAAAGAGGAGGCAGAGGAGCAGATCTTGGGACTCCACAAAAGGCTTTCGCCAGCACAAAACACCAGAGTAGACTGAGAGCACTCCACTGGGAGAGGGAAAAGGAGATCCAAGAATGGACCGAGAGGGTTAGCAGTCTGCTGAGGTTAGACCCGAGCTCCTAGGGGAAAATGTTGTGGGGAAACTAAGGGCAATGGGGGGAAAAAAGGGGAAGTTTTTCTGTAAAAAGAAGAACAAGGCCTGGTCAGGAAAAGCGTTGGGCAGTGCTGAACTGTATACACGGTGTCTCCTCATGTCTCTCATCCTGTCCCTCTTAAGCATGCCCAGTGACAGATACATGACAGGAATAAAGTAAGTGCTCGAGTAAAACCCAAAAAATATTGAACAATACAATTTTAAGATAACTTTGCTCTCTATATTACATTTGTTACATGCGTCCTCAGCCCTGCTGCCGCATTGGGACAATGCCCACCGACGGCTGACAGCCTCCATGACGTCTCCTGACTCCTCTAAAATAAAGTTCTATTCACCATTGCTTGCCCCCCATCTCTGTGTCCCAAACATGTAGAAAATGTACAAAATTATTCTCCAGATTTGCTCTCGCTCTAAATTTCTCTGAAGTATTATAAAAATATACAATTCTCCAATAACAAAACTCTTAAAAGTCACATCTTTCTGCTGTTAAATTATTCTCTTCATCAATCACTTTTAAGAGCTGACACCTTGACAAAACAAGACACCTGAGCTTCAATACACAAACCGTCTCCTTGTCTTATACATTCATCATCATAATCACCACCCTCCTCCTCATCATCATCATCTTCACCCCATTCTGTCCATCAATCCACCTCAGAAAATCAAGAGTCTTAGAATTTAATCCAGCTTATGTTCCTCCTCTTCTGATTTGTCTCCACGTGGTCATCACTGGTCTGTGAGGTGGTTCTCGTATTTACTAAGGATGTTGCGACACCGGCCCAGTTCCTTCCGCATCTCGGCCACCTCCTGACGGAGGGCGGCGTTTTCTCTCTCCAGGTAGGCGGCTCGCACAGATATCTGGTTCTCCTTGAGCCGACGAGCATCTCGGGAACGTTTTGCTGCCTCGTTATTTTTATGCCTCCTGGTCCAGTACTTCTCATCCTGAGAGAGGGCACAGAAAAGCAGCATTTGGATGATTTTGGCATATACCAGCGGGCCTTTTTAAGGCATCTTCTAACAGACGACTGAAATAGAGTGAATACTTGAGAAAAAGGATCAATGAGTGCTCGGAGGAATGCGGCACTCCTACTCCCACCCTGTTATTGGGAATGTGGGTGTTTGGCTGTGAATTACTGTGGGATGTTTCTTTTTTCCTATCCTTTATTTATTTATTTGCTTGCTTGTTTGTTGTTGTTTTTTTGTTTACATCCCTGGTGCAAAGACTTTGGTCAGGACTGTTACTGTGTGTGCAACAAAGTTTGCAGGCTGGCTGAACATCCCACCGTCTGTAAAATACTAACTTTTTATTCCCTTCCACAAACTACTGATCCAGATCTCAAACTTCATTCTCTTAAATAATTCAACTGAATACATTCTCAAAACGGAGGTGCAGACAATCTGGCCTTTTTATTCCACAGCCATTGCCTATGTTTTGTTTCCTCATTTCTTGACTTATGATCCGATTTTTATTTCAGGTTTTGTTTTTTTTTGTTTTGGTCTGCGACTCTAAGCTCAGAAAAAGAGTCCACAGTAAATCAACAACCCTCCCTGTGCGAATGTATTTCTGAGAAGCTGGTTTTCAAGGCCAGTTTTATGGCGCCCTGCTTCTTTTATATTCTCGTTCATTTGCTCATCCTAAATTGAGTCGAAAGAACTACTTGATTATCCCATCGATAAAAACAATACATTTCAAGCTATTTTGTCTCTTTCTGTACCCCTTATCAACCTAAAATCTACTGAAAATAAGGGATTTTTTCCTTTTATCACCAATAATCTGAGACACTTGGCATTTGGCTTCTAGTTATAAGATAAAAGTCAATAGTCATCAGCACCTAAAATGTCCATTTTCTATACCGGCTGAATACTGTTAGGGGTCTGGAGCAATCTAAGCCACCATTGGGTGATGGGCGAGGTACATCCTGGACACATCGCCAGTCACTTATTTTTCATGAAAAATTCCTCAAATCTACCTAATCAAGACTTCATTCAACATAACTCCAAATAAAATAACACTGAGACCGGAAGCATCTGAATCTGCCTCATTTGCCTCACCTTTAAGTCCTCGGGCACCAGGATCTTGCGAGCCTTCTTGATCATTGGCTGCGGCTTCAGGTCCTCTTCACTGAAGGAGTGCCTTCTGGGGTCAAAGTTCGGCTGGCTTGAGGCGCCCATGTCTGAAGACTCCATGTCAAACATTTCCATGGCATCTGGCCCGCTGCCTGTGGGCGTCAGCAGCGGCGGACAGGAGGACGAAGAGGACGAACAGGGTGACTCGCACGAGTCGTTCATACTCGTCTGACTCCCTGGAATGGAAAGGAAGAGAGGTTTGCATTACACACCTGTTGACTGTAAGAGATGAAAGCAAAGGCGGCCGGTGTTGACCGGATTTAGACCGATAAGCGATCCGGAGACGACAGGAAAGAAATATGCAGTATCTGGTGTTGACCACCGGATGGAAGCAGAGAGCCACCCTCTTACTGATGGAACAAATAACTGAGCTCTCCCTGTAGTTGACTTCAAACAATAACAGAGACATGTTCTTGGTCTGTTTTCAAAGTTTAAGGAATAAAGACTAAGTCATAAACAAATGAATGATACTGCTAATATATAATACATTCTTATTTTTGATTTGTGTCTTTAGTAAACCCTTTAATTCCTTTAGCATATATAGTGACTTTCAAATTAGACATACTAAAATACATAAGCTGTGATGACATTTAACTTATATGCACCTGCTCACATAAAACCATAACTAAGTCTTGTTGCCACTAGAAAGAAAAAAAAGAAGCAAGCTGTGCCTACTATAATGCCAACTACAAATCGATCTGCTCAATCAATAAATAAAACTGGTAACTTCTTATCAAAAAAACTACTAAAAGGATTCTCATGGACCAAAGCCAAAATCCAGCACTAATGTCACTAGAAAAATCTAAAAGTGTGAATGTTATGTAACATTTCACCCCTCCCCTCAAAACCAGTTTCTTTACATGGGGCCACTAAAAGGCTATACATCCCACCACCCCCCTTAAACTTAAAAGCTCTGACCGATGCCTCACTTCCACCATTCGCACTCAGCTGAATCCTCCCTGGCTATGAACATGTGCGGAAAATAGAACATGATTATAAAATTAAGGGTAACTATACATAATTCCACCAAGACTAAAAGCACAGACTAAAATAATCTTTTTATGGTAATTTGCAATTAGCCGGTGTTTTATGGTATCTGTTGATACACAATAAAAAGAAAGTATTGTGATGCAACAGAAATCCCTATGATTGGTGGAGCAAATGGATTATTTTACAGTTATCCCCACCATCTAACTCTGTTATATGTGTATCACTGATATGTGAAAAGTTACATATGATTTCATGGTGGATGAGCACCATCCATTCCTGATGCTCCAGTTTCATAATGCCAACGCTTTGGTGTCACAGTGAAACAGTCAGAATGTTGCACAGTTGGCAGGTCCAAACATCCCAGAATCCTCGTGTTCTCGGTGAGCTCCTGCATGTGTCGTGGTGCCATGCCCGCTTCCACCCAACAGCAGGAGCTACTTAGTGCAACCACCTGGGTTCGGCTTTTACAGGAATGCAAACCTGGCCACTGTTCCCCAGCTTTTTTTGGGGGAACCTTTGCAACACAGATGTTTTGTTCACGTGTTCCAACGTTTAAATGACCGGAGGCTTACATTTCGGAAGACGCGGCCCAAAATGCAGCCGCGCACTTTTCCAGAGCTGTACAACAGCATTCCACAAAGGCCTGAGGCCGTTGCAGAAGCCTGTTCAAAATTTATGAAGCAGCTGCTGGTCGGGCACCTTCATGACTCTACAAACGAGGATACAGCTCCTCCGGTTTCCGACTTTGAGAGGGATTATGTGAAATATTCACACAACGCCTCCTTACACACAGTCTGAGATATAAAATTTCAGCTTCATACATTTTGTGTAGTGATTATATCTTTTCTTTTTTTATCAGGTTGGGCTTCGGGCAACAGGCTCCTTATCAAGAAATCAAAAAATGTTTTATCAGATTTCTGACGTATTTACCTCCTAATGTCAAAAGTCTTCCTGAGTACCTCTTAAAGTTTCAATTCGGCCCCGATAATCAGTTTAATAAAAGTCAGTCACTGGCAATCAAACTTCCAGTTTGAAGTCCAGCCGCTCTGGGAGGGGGGCTCTTCCTGTTGGTGTGTATCCCTCCCCCTCTGAGCTCCTCCTACCCGTCCACTGGCCCTGCCCCTCGTTCTCTCACTCCAGCGCTCCCAGCCTCTGCACGTGTACCGACGCGCGCACGTGGCTGTGGCGTGTGAAGTGGGGAGAGATTTAAAGACACGCAACCGCAAACACTCCACACACTGCTCTCCCTGTGTCTTTCTCTCCCTCAGTAGTGTTTTGACCCCGCTGCCCACTAATCATTGGCTGGGAGTGAATGCTGATTGTACTGTACACTGCAGTACATAGATCACATGCCATGAGAAAACAAACCTCCTCGTCACTGCCACCAAGTTGACTCATCAAAAAGCTTGGGACTTTTTTGTTTACTGCTCTTCAACCTTTCATGTCCTCCCCGGTCCGAGCTCTCCCTGCCCCACGCCACAAGACATGAAAAAGGGCCTGTCATGGTAAAGCGGCCAACTTTAAGCTCTGTGTGTTATGTTGATTTTGTATTCTGGGCCATGTGACTCCATCCCATGCCTTCAATTTGACCTCAAAACCACGTTTGTTCGTGCTTTATGGTGGCGTTTGTTTTAAACTTTAAAGAGAGTTGAAGTGCTGAATCAAAAGGCCATGGGAACATTACGGCCACACCGAATAACCTTGATCTTCCTCTCAGCTATTACTGAATAGTCACCGTGTATCTCTCAGCCAGTCAGCTCTGCAAAGCTTGCAGAACCTCCTTCCATAATTGCTGCTGTGAGGCGATAAGGACAAACCTTTACCAACAAAGTGCCTCTGCACATTTTCACTGGGACAAAGCTGACCACCGCTCCCCTCAATAACACACCTGTGAACTCACCGTGCAGACAGTCGGTTGCACTCGCGTGGCTCTGCGGCTGAGCCACCTCCAGACCGATGAGAGATGGCGAGGAGGAAGACGAGGGTGACGAGGATGTGGATCCGGGTGGAGATGAGGGCGTTAGGCACTGGGAGCTCTGGTTGGGTACGGCCGACTGGGGGCTTTGCGAGGGGATCTGGGCCGAGCTGGAGCTGTTGTTGCTGTGCATGCTGCCCATTCCATTTTCAGTCAGAAACTCCTCCAAGTCCATGTACTGAAGCTGGAAGAGCCCCCCATCTGCAGGCACGGTACGATCCCACAGAAGAGGGCCCAGGAACTGGTTGTAGGTCCCTCCATTTCCACCTCCCCCTCCTACTCCCCCTCCTCCACCTCCACTGCCGTTCCTCATGGGGCACACTCCCATAGAGTCCTCATCGAGGTCCAGTCTGTCTTTGTCTGCCGGACAGAGGAAAAAACACAATGAAGGCAAGGAAGACTACTTTTGGGGAGAAGTTGACAGTTGTCAACACACGTGAAAGTTTGACCGAGCAACAGGTTAGTCTGAGATGTTAGTCTGGCTTTGCCTATGCAAACTTGGAGAACAACATGGAGTAGTGAATCCATAGGATGCACTTCAGTATAACCTCCCTCTCTGTTACATGGTTACAAACACATCCTCACAGATGGACCAGATGGTAGCTGAACCACAGCATTAAGCACGTGCCAAGAACAAGTTGCTGTCATAATATATACGCCAGCTCCTGAACAAATCTCACAATGGAGATATGGCGCTGTGTTGGAAGCAGAGTTCAACCAAAATGGAAGTCTGCATGCAGCAGTTAAACCAAAACACGTTCCCTCATTGTAATCTGGATCCTGATTTGAATTCCAGCAGGGGTTGCAATCCTTGGGGATAGTCATCAGGGTCATGTAGGAGTCATCTAATGCATGTGCCATGGCACATGAGACTTTGGCGAAAGACGTGGGGGCTTTAAACGTGTCAACTGGCACGTTTGTTACAACGTTACTGATGTCATTAAAACAGTTAGAGGGGATACAACAGAAAGCTAAGATTTCTTCATTTTTTCCAACGCCTCACTCGTTGACAAATAAACACTGCGACGAGACAAGAACGCATCAAATCGGAAAGTTCCCCCACCTTTCGTGTCACATGGGTTTTTCATGCGGTGGTCTCCTTTCATGGGGTGCTGCAGGAGAGACTTCAGACCGGCCATGGAGTTGATGTGCCCCCCTGTGAGGGAGCCTGCAGGCTGAGTGCAACTTCCAAATTGTGGACTGGCCCCCGCTGGAAGGTCCGGGGTCGGGAGCTGAGAGAGCTGTCTGGACATGCTGGGCCAGATGGGGTCGCACACAGAGGCACCTGGAGCTCTGGAAGGGGTGAAGCAATCCAACTGGAGCACCTACCAATAGGACAAGTATGCTGGATGACTGCGAGTGAGTGTGTGAAAGTGAGTGTGTGGGTGCAAGAGGGATGGGATGGAGGGGGGGGGAGAGAAAGAGAGAGGTTGTTTTGAGACGTATCCATGCAGAATAAAGCAACTTTGGCACACTGGTAATACTGCACAAAATTAAAGAGGCTGCTATTTAAAAAAAAAAAAAAAAACTTCTAAGCTACTAACATAACACCAGCGCTTACCTGTCAGTTGTAGTTATGCAGAGACTTATTTGCTTGCAGAAATATTTTTCTCGAAGTATTCCATTGCGATTGGATGCTGTTAAAAACTGTTCGGCAGATGAAGCTGTGTTTTTCTTATCGGCACACCAGTGTGTGTGTTGGTTGTGGCAGTCAGACCATATGAGCAGGAATACTGTCCATAATAAAAATGTTCAAAGACGTAGAAAAACAGAGTAAAAACTGCACGCACGGGCAAATGTCACAACTTCAACTTGTACAGAAGTATCCGGAGTTGGCCTTAGGAGGCTAAAGAACGCGGTCCCGAGTCGTTTTCCTTTCGTCAAAAACAAAAACAACCGTGGAGAAAAACCGTGAACCGAAAAACAACGAGAGCACTGGCTCGGTCGGTCAGATGACAAGTTGTGTTGCTGCTGCTCTCCTCCGCCGCCGCGCTCTGCTGTCCGTCAGGAGAAAGGGGGAGGGCTCGTTTCCTCTCTCTTGTCTGTACTTTTTTTCGCATCCGGTGGACGCAGTCACGGGCGCACGGGCTCGGGTCTGTGTGTATGGTCCGCGCGACGTCCACGTCCTACCGTTCTCCAGCTCTCCGGCTCTCAGCTGGAACGGACACGGGCAGTTCACGTGACGTCACACCTCTCAGTACAGGCGAGCGGGGCGCGAGAGGGGGCGGGGCCAGATCTGGCAGAGCCCTCAATCCTCGTTTATAATTTATGAGGCAGACCTACCCTCGTGCACACCTCGAGGAGAGCAGGCTGTTTGTTTTGTGTGACAGGTACATTCTCTGCTGCTTTTTGCGTGTTTGTCTGTTCCGCAGCAGGCCACGGGTAATAAAAATAAATAAAATAAAAACTGTACCGTCTAAGGGGTGAAAGAAGCAAATGTGTGTTTTTACAGATCCTGGCTTACCCTCACAATGACGAACAAATATGTTATTTTGAGACTTAATTACTCCAAACTCTTATCTCCGTCTGAGCATATGTTTGACCGTCTATAGAGAACAGCCAGTGCTTCACGACTTTTCCAGCTTCCTTTTAATCCACGGAAAACGTGAGTCTGCTGTTTTTCTTTTTTTAAGCGAGAGGAAAGCTTGTGCACGTTGCCTCCCGGCGTACAATAGCTGTTCCAGCTCACGTGTAAGCGGCACGCGCAGGCCAGGCCCGTTGGCTCGCGGCTCTGGCGCTGATTGGCTCTGGAAAATAGTCGCTCCGCCCACGGCGAGCACGTATTGGGCAGAAATAGGTCGAACAAATCCGCCCGCTCGGATTCCCCCCGTGCATGCCACTGCCGCGTGAGGCCAGTTCGAAACGCGAAAAAGCGCGATGGCTGTCCTGCCTACCGTACAGTTGCAGAGCGCAAGCAAAACAAAGTGCGCCGCAGGAATCCACCCCCCCCCCCCCCCCGCAAAACCGAGAGAGACAGTAAAAAAAACATAT